TGTGAAATTTGATGAGAATCCGATGTATATTTTACATTCTATGAGCGTTTTTGTTATTCCAAATGTTGACCCTTTGTGGGGGAGGTACCAAAAGGAATGACCGGCAACACTCCATATTTACTCCAGACATTGTAAAGATAAAAGTATTAGTATGTGTGAAATTTAATTAGAATCCGATGTATATTTTGCATTCTATGAGCATTTTAATTGTTCCAAATTTGGGCCCTTTGTGGGGGAGGTACTAGAAGGAGTAGTCCAATCTTGTCCATTCTCCCACCCAATCTTGGGGTAATGCAAATATTACGATTTGCAAAGTTTGAAGAAAATCCAACAATCCGTTATCTATTATTTTCAATGAAAATGTTGACCTTTTGTGGGGGAGGTACGATATTGCCCATCTCCGAACTCGATCTAAGTTTGACAAAAATACTACGATGTACCAAGTTAGGACCGAATCGGATACTCCCTTCGAGAGTTATCGTGCGCACCAGCCAGCCAGACAGACGGACGGACGGACATCGCTAGATCGACTCCAAATGTCCTGAAACGGATTTGGTTCAAAGAGACCTAGGGTCTAAAACCGTTATTTCGGCTAGGCACGTTTTGACCGTATCAAATGATATATACCCTCTTTAGCCATATGGCTGAGGGTATAAAAACATTAAGTTCGGCCGGGCCGAGCTTTGAATACCCTCCACCATTACCTAAGAAAACATTTTTATACAAAAGTATCTGGATTCAAACATGTTCCACTTTAAACTACAAATACGACTGAGATCGGTAGGAGAATGCAGTTAAAGATTTCAAATACCAATAAAGTGTGTGGAACCGTTACATTGGTGTCATACCAAAACATGAACCTATATAGACATATTTATACTAAGTGGATTTCTATCTACTGCAAGTTTTAAATACCAAATTTGAAACAATTCCGTGGGTAAATGTGACCAAGATCATTAAAATACAGTGGGGACCTTTATATTGTACACAATTCCGATAGATCCACCGTAGTTACACACAGGTTTAAATTCATAAGTTCCACGCATATATGTACATTTATTATTTACTCACTTTTAATGGCAAAGCATCAACTCCAATTCTAATACAAAAGGATAACTTGGAATCTTTACACATTTCTTAAAAACCTATATCTAATGCTACAAGGAGAATTATTTATTTTATTAAGAGAATACAAAATAAGTGCTAACATAACATATATTTTGTATTTTCGCACTGGATTCTGTGCTGTTAAAAATGTCGTGAGGGAGGAACCGGAAGGAGTGGGACGACATTGCCCATCTCCGCATTATGTTTGTTAATAATAGGTGTGTCTGGTTACCCTAAAATTTGTAACAATTGTTACAAATTGTTACTGGAAGTCGTCTGTTAACCAGAAAGTTCTGCAAAAGAGAGCGGTTGGAGAGAGAAATTTTGACAGCTCTTTCAGTGAGAGTTTGCAAATTCTTGCTGGAAAAATTTCTTCTTGCAATCTCTTGCAACTTTTCTTCTTCTCATTCATCGACATTCAATCAGATGTTTTCTATTGTTTATTTATTTCTTTTTGTGATTTTAATTTGAAAATATTGTTTTGGAATTAGCAAGACTAATTGTTTTTGGAGAACAACTTTACAAAATGTGAAAAACGTAAATGTTAATATGTAATAAGAAAATAAAAGACTATTTGCAACATTTTTATTTAAAAAACTTGTAAAATTAGTATTGGTTCCTTTGGTTTAATTCTCCTTGGGGGACAAATTGGTTTGTTTTGACAAATCAGCTGATTAGTTGCAAGCTTCTGCAGGAATAGCGTCTGTTTACTTTTCGCATTTTCCTTGCAAAAGAGAATAAAACTACCTTACTCTCTCAGAAAGAAGTTGCTGGACAATTCCTGCTGGAAAAGTAACCAGACACACCTAATATTGCGATGCACTATGTTTGGATGATGATCCATTCTACAGCTATCGTACGCACCAGCAAGACAGACGGACGGGTTGCCTCCAAATGTCCTGAAACGGATTTCGTCGAAAGAGGCGTTATTTCGATCAGATACATTTTGGTCATATGAAATTATACAGACCTTCTCTAGCGATATGACTGATGGTATAATACGTATACACTTCCAGTAGTATTTTCAGTTTATATGTTAAAAAATATACTAATCTCAACTAATATATACATATGAATAAACCAAAACGAACTTATTCAATGTTTCAGAATGAAGAGTTCTGATTGGTGCAAACCAATTTGCCCCAAGTTTTATACTTCAAATAAATTCGCCCTGGTTAAAACATTGACATATCAAGTTTCTAAAAAAGTTGCTTTGTTGTAATTTTCGCCTATGTTGCTACCTGGTATTTCTACCATGCTCCACACTATGGTGGAGAAACAGTTATAAAAAAAATAACAAATAAAAGTTTGAATAAACCAACAATTTGGTTGCAAATTTCTCTTCCATAGACCATCCCAATTAATTGCAAACTGCCTTAGTGGGTTAAATTGCTAAACATTAGTAATTATAGTTGTGTTCCAGTACTTTTTTAGTAGTAAAACTAGCAGAAGAGAGAACAGTTCGAAATGTCATTCTCATTTAGGTTTGCTCAAAAAATAAGGGAACGGAAAATTAGCAGAAATGCGATAAAATGTCAAAATTCAAAATTCCAAAAGTAAACAGCCTAAATCGGACTGGTGAAACCTTACTGAAAAGATAATTTTCTTTATTGAAATGTATCAATACATTTTTCAACCTTGTTAGCCCTGCCAATTAAATGTCAAATTTACAAAATGCACATTTCTGCTCGGCCAAATTCATGTAGCTAAAACAAGCAGAAATGTGCAGCACTCAGCGCCATTTTTTCTCGAGAGAGCTGCAAGTTTTGCTAGTTTTTGGAGTACGGGAACGCGTTGTAGCAGAATTAGTGCTAATTAGTACTAATTTGCAGGTTCTGGAACACAACTAATGAACTGTCAAACACATCTTGGAAATGAACATTTTAAATTAAAATTTTAAATGAAAAATTATTGCAATTTGTAAAAATTGTTGAAAAACACATATCATAACAATACCCGATTTGTCTCGTAAAAAATAATATAAAAATCTTTGTCAAAACAATTTAAAATTTTTGACACATCAATGTTTCCAAGCGTTGCTGCATGCAGAACCATTGTTCAATAAGAAAGGTTGCTCAACTTCAAAGAAACTAGAAAATATGCAACAGTTGGTTTTGTTTATTTTCATTTTTTAACAAAATTCTTATATTGGGGAAAACCCGCGAAACAAGAATGCAATTTTGGGGTTATTCTTTGTGGGGTCAAAAAGGTATATTTCGAGGTGTTACAAACGGAATGAAAAACTTAATATACCCTCCATACTATGGTGAAGAAACAGTTATAAAAAAATAACAAATAAAAGTTTGAATAAATCAACAATTTGATTGCAAATTTACGAATAAGCTACACCTCTAAAAAGCACTTTAGGTTGCTGCACCCTAAAGGCTCCATCAGACGATATGTTCTTATATCCTCCACCATAGTATGGAGGGTATATTATGTTTGTCATTCCGTTTGTAACACTTCGAAATACACATTTTAGACCCCACAAAGTATATATATTCTTAATCAGCATAAAATTCTATGTCAATTTAGCGATGTCAGTCCGTCTGTGGAAATCACTCTAGCTTCCGAACAAAATGAAGTAGGTTGATAAAATGTTACTCAAATGTATATTATGTCTGCAGATATATGGTGGTCCATGTGTTGGTAGAGCCCCCATATAACTATCTCCCGATATTCCGTATTTTCATGATTTTAGCGACATTATTCACCGGAATTCTTTCAAATTTGGTATTTCAAGTTCAAAATGGTTACTACAGCCTAAAACAGATTTATAATTTTAGCGACATTATTCACAGGAATTGTTTCAAATTTGGCATTTGAAGTTCGTAATGGATACTACAGCCTATGGCAGGAAATTGTCTGTGCAGGTTCACATCTTCGTAAAAACCCCCATATAATGGAACACCCCGATATTCGGCATTTTGATGATTTTAGCGACATTTTTCACCGGAATTGTTTCAAATTTGATATTGGAAGATCGTAATGGATACTACAGCTTAAGACAGAAAATTGTCTGTGCAGGCCCACATTTTTGTATAGCCCACATAAAATCGTACCTCCCTATCTGTGCATATCCACGTCTGCCTCCATATAACGGTACCTCCCTATATTTGGTATTTTGATGATTTTAGCGACATTATTCACCGCAATTGTTTCAAATTTGGTATTTGAAGCTCGAAACGGATACTACAGCCTAAGACAGAAAATTGTCTGTGCAGGCCCACATTTTTGTATAGCCCCCATATAATCGTACCTCCCTATATTGATAATTTCAGCTACATTATTCACTGATTTTTTGCAAGTTTCGCTTTTGAATATTGTAATGGCTTATGACAAAATTTGCCCATGCATGTCCACGTCGACCACATTTGTTATTTTTAAGATTTTAACAGAATTTAACGGATTTTATTTATTTTTTTTTTTTTTTTTGAAAATTGACAAATTCGTTCCAAATGGTGTAGGGTCGAACTTACAGGTTTTTACTTGTTTTTACAATTGTAGTGTCAAATTTTCCATATGTGAAAGTTGTACACATCGTATGATACATAAACAACATTCCATTTGTGAAATACATTACATTACAGTACATAAAGACTTTTTCGGTCACAGCGATCCCTATTTTCATCGGAAAATGATAATATAAATTAATCAAAAGTATTACTTGTTTGTTATTAAATTTGTGGTAGCTGCGTTGCCTAAAATTCGACGTAGCGTACAAAAATATTCAATTTCGCCACTATGGTGAAATTTTTTGTACGTGCATATCACCCAAATACGCCAGAGGCGTACAGACCAAATTGGTCTGTTCCAGATCTACAAGAATATTGATATTATGATATCGAAAAAATTGTTAAACTGTTAGATTCTTGCAGGTTCTGGAACAGACCAATTATTTATTACTTGTTTCTATTTTTAACAAACAATAAAAAATAAATTGCTTAATTGTCAATGTTAAAATTGTACAATTTCGTACGTCCGATGTATTTTAGTGTTTTACTTGTCTGTGGTGAAAAACGTTAACTGCGTACGTCGAATTTTAGGTAACGCCTTTTGCCAATCGCTGTATTTGTTTTGATTTTTGTCTTTATCGCGCATTTCCAATTGGGTGCCTGTATTGCATCCTTCCTTTTCTTCCTTTTGCGTTGCGCCGGTACTGTTTTACGGTTGAAATCGAAAATCTCTAAAGCTTTGCGGCAGAATTTACTTACCTTACGTCTTTTTAATTGCAGAGAGGTTCCCGGAAGTTATTTATACCAATCATCAGGGGCATCCACACAATTGGAATTGGTAAGGACATAAAAATATGACCAATAATATTAAATGAAAAACAGACCGCACCCTGACATTTTTTTCAATGACCTACACTCTCGAATCGACAAGGACTAGACAGGACAACACACATACATTTGCAGAGAAGAACGCGATGTCAATGTCAAATATGCCATTAAATCCTGTATGCTTTTCTTTTGCAGAATCAGGTGGTAGACGAAATCTACATCAATCCAATATGGAGAAACGTTACTTGGAGAATCCTTATCCAGATTATGTGAATAAACAGACGACGCCTATCAATTTGGACGAGGAGCATGTTAAGAATTTAATATGTACCTATGTGGATGCCGTACTGGAACATTGTCGTCCCGGCTGTGATGATGAGGATAACCGTGGCGATTTGTATGTGGGCAATGCCGGCATTGCCTATATGTTTTGGAAAATGTCGCGGTCCAATCAATGTCATGACTTGTATCCAGCATCGCTGGAACATGCCCATGCCTTTATACGTAATGCCAAGGCCAATGCAGATCGTTATAAGAAACGCAGAGAGGAGCGTTACTCGTTTTTGTGCGGCAATGCTGGGATCTATGCTGTCTCCGCTGTGATTTCTCAGGATCTTAAATTGGTGCAGGATTTATCGGATGATTTGACAAATTTCAAGGCCGGCATTGCACCCAGCAAGGAACATTTGCACACCAAGTATGGCTGTGATGAGGTGTTGGTGGGAAGAGCTGGTTATTTGTCCGGCTGCTATTGGTTAAACGATGTATTGCCCGAAAAGAAAATCACCGATGATGATGTTATATCGATTTGTCAAATGGTCATAGCCAGTGGCCGGGAATATGCCAAAATGACCAATGCACCCTTGCCGTTGATGTACCAATATCATGGTACCGAATATTTGGGTGCTGCTCATGGCCTATGCTCCATTTTGCATATGTTGTTGGATAGTCCATGGTTCAGTAACGATCCCATATCGGCACCATCCGCTGAACTGAGAGACATCAAAAAGTCCATTGACTTTTATTTAATGCTGCAAGATGAGGAGGGTAATTTTCCGGTGGCCTTAGAAGACTTACGTAGTGGTCGTGAAAAAAGGTTGGTCCACTGGTGTCATGGCGCCCCGGGTGCAGTATATCTGTTTGCCAAAGCTTATTTGATTTTCAAAGAAGACAAGTACTTACAGTCTTTGAAAAAGTCGGCAGATTTGGTGTGGAAAAAAGGTTTTCTGCGCAAGGGTCCCGGCATTTGCCACGGTGTGGCTGGAAATGGTTATGTGTTTTTGTTGCTTTACCGTTTGACAAATGATCCAAAGTATTTCTATCGAGCCATTAAATTTATGGAACTACTGAGCAATGCCGAATTTAAGTTAAGGGCCCGCACTCCAGATCGCCCTCACAGCCTATATGAAGGTGTTGCCGGAACGGTGTGTTACTTAATTGATCTGCTTGAACCAGATCAGGCCCATTTCCCGTTTATGGATGTTTTTCATTGAACCATTCATTGAGCCCGGCATCGCCCCGCCCCCTCCCCCAAACATTGGTAAATTGTCGGCAGGAATACAATCAAAATTTTGATGCAGACCCACAGACAGACAGACCTCAAAATGCCAAGTAAAGAAATGTACTTCATATACATACAGCTACATATATATTTTGTCGTCTTGTTTACAAAATCCATAAAAATAACCTCTCTATCATCATCACATCACGCATATCAGGGAAATGACTTAAGCACAATATATATTTTATATTGAAGATGCTAAACAGATTTCTCAATTTCTTTGGTGAACACGCAGCAGCAGGCAGGATATGAAAGCAAGATGTGTCCTTTTGCTCGGGAAGCCATGAATTAGAGTAGAATTTGATTTTTTTTTCACGTCTCCACCTCAATTGGCAGTGTATGTGTCTTAAGACTTATTATATAATCTTATGTATGTTTCAATTAAACAACAACATAACAAAAAATATTTATCATTATATTCTCCTTATATAATAAGTAGTATTTATTGGACAAAACAAAAAGAAAAAAAAAAAACAATTGGTAGTGAATTCCCAAAACAAGAAAAAATCTGAACCCCACTCTCCCAAAAATGTTCTCAGCAGGGCAACCTAACGGACATAGCTAAAGAAATATGATAATGAAACATATTTTTCCAAATAATTTACAAATATTTCTTGGATCATCAACAATATTGTGCTTTATACATACACATATTTACATACTTACATATTTAGTGTGTTCTTTTTTTATTTTTGATTTGTCTTTGAAATAAACACAACTACATATTAAAATTTAGCGTATTGATATTAAAATACAAATTATGATTCTAAAAGAATTAAATGCAATATTTTTCTCAACATTTAAAAAATAAAATTAATCCAAAATCTATACAGAACAATTTAAGTGGAAAGTGTTTTAATTAAAACAAGTAAAAAAGATGTAATTTGGGCCGGGCCGATCTTTGAATACCCTCCACCATTTGCAACGATTTTGGCAAATTTTCAAAAAAGTAAAATCCATTAAAAATTCTTTTAAAATCTTCAAAATATCGAATGTAGCCGTTATATTAGGGTCTACACGACAACGTGGACCTGCATAGGCAACTTTTGTCATAAACCATTATAATATTCAAATGCGAAAATTAAAAAAATCGGTGAATAATGTCGCTAAAATCAACAAAGTACCAAATATCGGGAGGTACCGTTATATGGGAGCTATACGAAGTCATAGACCTGCACAGATACTGCAGTATCCATTACCAACCTCAAATACCAAATTTGAAACAATTCCGGTGAATAATGTAGCTAAAATCATCAAAATACCGAATATAGGGTGGTATCGTCATATGGGATCTATACGAAGACGTGGATCTGCAAAGACAGTCTCCTGTCATAACCTGTAGTATTCATTACGAACTTCAAATACCAAATTTGAAACAATTCCGGTGAATAATGTCGCTAAAGTTATAAAAATACCGAATTGTGGGGTCTAAAATGTTTATTTCGAGGTGTTACAGACGGAATGACAAACTTAATATACCCTCCATACATGGTGAAGGGTATAAAAAGATGTAGCTAGCATACGAAAATTCTAACTAAAATCATGAGATTTAAATTTTTTGTGAAGCTCCTAAAGATATGCTCTAAAAGTGCTAATAACAAATGTGGAAGTTACAAAACACCGTACCTCAGGGAGATTTTTAGTGTCGATAAATCGGTATCATAAATCGGGCGGTACAGTTATATGAGGCTATATCGAAATTGGGACATGGCACCAAAAATTCACGAATACCAAAAATTCTACGGACCTTAAATGCATCTCAACGTATCGACACCTAATAGTACGTTTATATATAAATAGGCTAACCCACTGGATTTCGATTATAATTTACTTATACTTATACCCTACAAAAACTTCTAAGCATGGCTCAATAAGAAAAGTTGCTCAACTTCAAAGAAACTAAGAAAATGCAACTCTGTGCTGGAGTCTTCTAGGGTCAAAGAGACTTTTAAATATGCAACAGAAGAAAAATGTATTTAGGGGGTAGCTTTGTTCTACCTTCTGTTATTATGCCATGGTTCTAACGTAAACATGGCATAGAGCACTTTTAGACTACTAAATCCACTCGATTTCAAATGTAATTTTCATTGACTATACGTCACGTATATCGTATTCATAAAAAGAAGACGTTCCATGTCGATAAAGCAGTCTCTATGTTATGGTTGTGTTCATGGCCCAATTATAAGGTCTTCCTTCGAGCGAATTAATCTAAAAACAGCTGTTATTTTACCACATGAAATGTCAAAATTCATGCTTGAGGCGAAAATAAATATTTTCGCCTTGACAGCAGAATTTTGTGGCGAATATGTTTGTTGTCATTTTTTGTATGTATAACACATGGTAGAAAAATACAGGTAGACGCATCGACGCAGCTGCTGGGACAATGAATCGTCAAACCGAATTTTAAATTAAAATGTTAAACGAAAAATTGTTGATATTTGTAAAAATTGCATACCATAACAAACTCCAATTTGCGTTGGATTTAAAAAACGTATAAAAATCTACTTATTTTTCACAAAACATTTTAACAATTTTGACATATCAATGTTCTCAAGCATTGCAATAATTTTTTGAATAATTTTTCATTTTAAATTTTTAACTTAAAAATTGGTTTGACAGTTCTTTGCCACAGCAGCTATGCAATGCGACTACCTAAATTCTTCTACCATCGTTTTGAAGTGTGTTTTTGTTGCAGCGAATTCAAATTTAATTGACAGATCGTCTGGTAGTCAGCTGAGCTGGAAGGGGGACCTTATACTTGGATCATGGTTGTGTTTTATCGATGTCGTGTACCATTAAATACATGATTCAAGTATAAGGCCCCCCTTCCAGCTCAGCTGATTACCAGACGAGCTGTCAATTAAATTTGAATTCGCTGCAACAAAAACAAACTTCAAAAAGATGGTAGAAGAATACAGGTAGTCGCATTGCATAGCTGCGGTGGCAATGAACTGTTAAACCAATTTTTAAGTTAAAATTTTAAAATGAAAAATTATTCAAAAAGTTATTGCAATACTTGGGAACATTGATATGTCAAAATTGTTAAAATGTTTTGTCAAAAAAAAGTAGATTTTTATACGTTTTCTAATACGACGCAAATTGGAGGTTGTTATGACATGCAATTTTTACAAATATCAACAATTTTTCGTTTAACATTTTTAATTTCAAATTCGGTTTGACGGTTCATTGTCCCAGCAGTTGAATCGATGCGTCTACCTGTATTTTTCTACCATGTGCTATACATACAAAAAATGACAACAAACATATTCGCCACAAAATTCTCCTGTCAAGGCGAAATTTTTTTTCGCCTCAAGCATGAATTTTGACATTTCATCTGGTAAAATAACAGCTGTTTTTAAATTAATTCGCTCGAGGGAAGACCTTATAATTGGGCCATGATTAAATACCTGATTGAGCGATCATTGTTTGCTTTTTATTTATTCATGCCGAAATTGTGTGGCCTTAAAAATGAAGTGGTCAAAAGTACAGTTTTATTTGAATATTATTTATGATCGTGATATTATGATCGTGATACAATATAGAGTTAAAATAGCTTTGTAAGGTAGAGCAATCATGCGGATTGTTTACGCGTCAACGTGTCATATGGAACAATACATCGCTTGTTCACGCTGCATTGGCCGTTTAACTACCCTTCATCCATTCCAAATTCCAAAAAAAGTCGACAACAGTAAAAATAATCGATTACTCGATTTTCCACTAACCTTGATTGGACGAAAGTCGACTTACGTATCCCTATTTCAAACTGTCAGTAGTGTCGCTCATCACTCTCTCATAACTCGCAATAAAACAACACGACGGTAAAATCGAAAAAAGAAGCTCTTGTGGCAAAGCAAATTTTGGAAAAAATCTATAAGATTTTCGTGGAAAGTTTGTTGTCGGCGGAGAATTGTGGGAAAGCGATATTGTCAATATATTTTTTACAAACGAAATATTGTGTAATCAAGTGTTAAAAACTTCTGGTCAGTTTCTTTACTCGTCAATCGTTGATAGCACCACCAAATAACACCTTATAATAATACAATTGCCTTGCCCTCCATTTTTTCATTGCGCACGGTTTGCTTCTGTCAATTGAATTTTGTGTGTGCGTGCGTGCGTGTGTTTGAATTTGAATGCCTGCAAAGGAAAAATCAAGAAAAACTTCATAATTTCCCAACAAAAAGAGTAATAAAAATTGTGTATAAAGTTTATAAATAAATTTTCAAGTGAAAGTTTATGCATATTTGTGGTATCGTTATATTGTGAAAATAATAACAAAGCAGAAAGAGCGAGAAATTAGAAGTGCACTTTTTCGGTTTGTTTATAAAAATAATACCAAAAAAAAAAATACGTTGCTGCTTGTGAATTGAACGAAGAAGAAGAAGTGGAAGAATTGTAGATAGAATACAATACAAACAACAAGAACAAGAATAATCAAAACAACAACGCAAGGCAACATTGTCGTTTACCGTCCAAGAGAGTAAAAGAATAGAAAGAGAAAGAGAGAAGGAAAACTAAATTCTTTGCATCAAAGCTAAATTGTCAAAAAATAGGGGTAAGTGTGTCATTCTTTGGGAATATTTTGATTTGTTTTTGGCTTTGCATTTGAGGTAAATTGGAATTTTGTTCGTAAATGCTTTGTAAAGCTGGATTTATTTGACCTTTGGTAAAAACGTATTGAAAGTCTTGTCTGTACTTTGCCTTTTGCCCAAAGCAGGGGGCGTATATTTTGTTATTGTCCTCTCTTACCATGACGGAAAGAAATGTTCACATTGTTCGATAGATGGCATTGTTCTAATGCAGCACAGTGTTTTGATTTTGAATTTTTGGATTGAAAATCCCTTTGACGACCTATCACAACGTTTTAACCCTTAATAACTTGACTCTTAGGGGTGGACAATGAACGGAAATGCTTGACGAGGTGTAGATAAAGGGTGGCTTGCTTTTAAAAATACTGCTTGGGAAATCTGTGGACAATTAACATTGAAATCGAACCGCATGTGGTATTTTTAGAAAATCGTTTATTTTAATCATACACCTGTTTCTTCATATCGGCTAGATACCGATCTCAACCTCCGCCCATTTTACATTATTATAGTTATCTAAATCGTAGTGACGTGTCACGTGATGGGTAACCTTATAACTAATTTTCTGAAATAAAAGAGAAATGGACGGAAAAAAACTTAGAAAATTTATAAAAAAAAAAAATAATAATTTAAAATGTCGCTTTTCTTTCAAGTTTTTTATAATATTCTAGGTATTACAATTTAACTTTGTTATTCAAGTTCCCCACAATGAAATTTTCTTTGATAAAAGGGAAATAAACGAAAATCGTTCTGTCAAGTTTGTGCGATTTTCCATACATTCTTTAGTTTGTAGATTTGTTAGTAGGTTTGCATCCACGGTGTATCAGCGTGTCGTTCTTAGCCATTTTAGTCTTCTGGCTAACTGAAGAATGATTGCTGGCTCGATGTCGGAGAAGGAGGGCAAGTCTGGCAGAATTTGCTTACCCTCTGTCTCACCCCTACAAGAGTTGGGCAGTGGCAGAGTAAGTGCTCCACCGTCTCAGTTTCTTTCTCGTCCTGACAAAGCCTGCAAGATAATGCTTATGCAGTACTTGGAAGAAGTGACAAAAGGATGGCTTCACTGAGCTCTCAATCTCTGGATCTACTGACTCAGATCCGCGTCTGACCAATTCATCGGCGATTCATTGCCAGACATGTCCAGTGTCCAGATTTTGACAAACGATTTAACCTTTTCCAGAGAATTCCTGGATTCCACAACTGCCATATATTTGATTGTAAATGAATTTAGAGCCTTCAGGGCCGCTTGACTATAGACATATATCGTCACCGGTCCCTCCTGGTCATTGATTCTATTTGCCAGTTAGTGCCAACCTTGCTTTCCAAAAGTACTTCAGACTCAATAGTCCAACGGATTGGTATCCAGAGATATTGATGACCATTGTGCGCTGGAAATGAAGCGAGGAACCTCATTTTGTAACCATTCTTGGGTGCGGCCTGCTAAGTGCGATGGTGCTGAGTCCTCCTGTTGGAATGTCCAAGGTCTGCGGCCAAAATGTTTGCATGCCCAAGGCTTTAATACACCCTCCAGAATATTTTCGCCATAATATTCGGCATTTATTCTGATGCCATGGTCGATTTATACAAGCGGAGAGCGACCATCGGCTGTTATGGCGGCCCACACCATCTCCATGGCCGGCGCTTGAGTTCTGGTGGCCAACCGAAGGTGCACATTTTCAGCTGAACTCTTTGGCAAGTAAACACGATCATTTTGTTTGTTTACAAACTGCTGGACAATGAATGTTTTCCCATCGGAGAAAACCAAATTCGGCAGTTCACTACTTTCGGCCAAGCGAAGCAACACTTTAGCTCTTTTGAGTGTATTTTCTTTCTGTTGCGGTGTAAGTTCTTGCACTTTTTGGAATATCAATGGGTTTAGGCTCAGCTCATTTTTCAATATTTGCCGAGGGGAATATTGCGATACGTTCAGCTCAGGAGCCATTTCTCGGCCACTTCGACGCTGGTTTCGATCAAGTCGCATCTTTACTTTTCGAACCTTTTCTGCTGATGTTGCTGTTTTCTTTCACTTTTCTTTCCCACTTCCTTGAGGTCAGGCTATGCTACCTTGACGTTGGGCTACGCTACGATTTAACGATGTCAGTCTGTCTGTCTATTGAAATCTCGATACAGCCCACATATTTGACATAGAGTGTCAAAATTTAGCAGAACAATTTGTATTGCGTCTAGGATGGTAGGTATTGAAAATGAGATATATCGGTCCACGTTTTGGTATAGTTCCCATATAACTGTACCTCCCGATATTCGGTATTTTGATTATTCTTGCCAGGTTTTTTCACGGATTTGTCTCAAAATTTGTATTTTTAGGTCATAATGGGTTCTAGATCCTGTGGAGAAACATTGTGTGTGTAGGTCAACGTTTTTGTACAGCCCCATACAGCAATACCTCTTGATATTCGATATTTTGATGATTTTTGCCACATTTTTCCACGAATATATCTAAAAATTGGTATTTGTGGGTCATAATGGGTTCTAATGTTTTTTTTACCCTAAGATGGAGGGTATTAAAAAGTTCGACCCGGCCGAACTTAATGGTTTTTTACTTGTTGTTCATAATATGGCGTCTAGAGCTTGTAATGGTTTCCATCTCCTGTGGAACTTTTCCTATTGCACCCATATTAAGGTAACCGCAGGTATTCTGTATTTTCATAAATTTAACAAAATTCTTTAAACGGAGGTGTTTTAAATTTAGGTTTTGATGTTTGCAACGGGTTCCATATACTGTAGAGAAACATTGCCTACACAGGTTATCGTTTTCCTATAGCTACACATACTATTTCAAATTTGAAAATTGAAATTCGAAATAGAATACCGATCCCTTTCCTGTGTTTTTGGAAGAGCCCACCGGTATTATGGCACCGCCTACTCTTTAATATAATATTTCAAGACTTGTATTGGCTTCTCCAAACAATTTCCCTGGTATTTGCCGGAACTCGTTTGAATGTTGAATCCTGCAACTTTTATTTTCGATGGGCTTCTTTATTTCATACTGGAGGGTATTAAAATTTTGATCTGGCTTAACTTATCGCTTTTTTTCTTGTTAGTAATAGTGTAGTTTCTACTTCCCACTACAAATACCGCATAATTCAAAATAGCACATCTTGTTGGAACGATCGTTTCCAAACGAAAAAAATACCAAAATTCCTCAAGATCAATTGTGTGGAATATGTAACATCCTGTTTATGACTTTAAATTTTAATATTAAATAATTAAAAATTGAAAATAAAATTGTTATCAAATTGTTGTCCTTTTTATGGCACACACACACCCTGATACTTAGTACTTCTGACTCCTTAACAATAAAACTATTCATGAGAAAGTTTTAAATAGTTCTCAACATGACCTTAATCTCTGAGGGAAGTAATAAAAACAAAAATAGTTTTTTCTTTTTTTGAGGAAATAACTACTTCCCCACCCCTGGGCAATTTTCCACGCCCCATAACACTGTCTAGTTAGGTTTTCTAATCGCACAACATAAATTGATAAGAATTACCAACTACCCATTAAAGATAAATAAAGGGTTGTTATTTTCTTTTTTTAATTTTCCTACAAAAATAGGGGTTAATAAGTAGTTATTTTGAAATTTCATATTTTTTATCTTTTGATGGATTTTAAGTTTATGTCTTTGTTTAGAGAATTACTGTTCGTTAGCAAGATTCATTTTGTGGAAAAAATGTAGTGTGTGGTTTTGGAATTTTTAGACTTGTATTTTTTTCTGAATTCATGGGAATTCTGAAAATTGCATTTTCACTTTCATGACAACAGCCCTACACTCCCCCACTACTGACAAAAGATAAGCAAAACAATCACCCAATTCCAAACCACTTTCTATGAAAACAATTTCTTTTCGACTTCAAGGTTTCGAATGGGAACCAGTAGAAAATAGCAGCAACAACAACTACAGCAATTGTATTTCTTTTTACATTATTTTTTTCTGGTTAATGTGGTTACCTCTATTTTTTTAGTTTATAATTAAAATTATAAAGTGTGTTTTTATTTTCTTCAGCTGCAGATTTATGTAAGCCTAAATGTGGCTACGGTGTTATGATGTTGAAAAAATATTTATGTGGTCTCTTGAAAGTATTAACAAGACCACATTGTATGTTTATGGGGTAAATCCAATTCCTACCAAAAACCGCATGTATTTTAGAACAAAAATAAAATAAATGGTTTTAAAAAAATGGTGCGGTAATTTTTTTAAAAAATTTACCCCAGAAATAAAATATTTTGCATAAAATGCAGTCGTTTTGGTTTGGACATGTCCACTTTCCGAGGAGAGTCAAGTCCATTGGGTCCATTGTTCCACAAAAATGTTTGAGTATCTATTTCTCAGTATTTCCTAATTGATAAGAACAATTACCTTTTCTCTGTTCCAGAACAGGAATGTAAATCTTTTTACTATCATAACCTATTTTCCCTCTATGATATCGAAAAAAAATTGCAAAATTAGTAGATTCTTGCAGGTTCTGGAACAGAGCTCTTATTTTTTATTTCTTTATAAATTTTCCGAAAGGATATTTGAAGTTTAGAGGATGACCATTTCAATTTGAAGTTTGAATTTAAAGATTGTCTGTGTCTCCATTTCATAGCGCAGCCCAATTTATGATATTTTAAAGACCTCAACGAGATTCTCCAACCGATTTCACTGGCATTTGCATTTTAAAATAGAATTCATTTGAATTTCAGAATCCGCTACCATTTTTGTAAAGGAGATAAATTGTCTATCCTTCAATACTCCACAGTCGTTAATATGACTGCCATGCCAATCTCCTTCTTCATTGACCGTTCCTTCTCACCTCATTAGTGATGTTTATTCCAAGGTTATATCAAAGATTCTCCATAGTTTAAATCTACTTCCAGTCCTTTATCTTGTCCTTTACGACTCCCTCATCTATCACCTCGGGAATATCATCAAATTTTAGAATAAGTTTAGATTTGTTCGAATTGGTCACCT